ATCGTTTTGAGAAACAAGATTTTGAAAGAAGTGCCAAACATGGACTGCTTGCCAAGATCGGAGTCGCCACCTAAATATTTTATTTATAGGAAATTTTAGGAAACCCTGACTCGGTGCCAAAGGCCATGTGTCCGTCATCACCAAAGTTGCCTCGGCTCGGAAACTTGGGGTACGATTGGGGAAGGTCACTTCGTGAGCACCCCCCGCTCGCCCGATCAAAGATCGGCCTCTACTAACCGCTGATATCTATTTTTTGAAAAACTTTGTGTATCCTTATTCCGGTTATTAGCCTAGTTACTATGTGATGCGCACAGCATACAAGTGTAGACTGGGTCGCCCTGAATTGGAACAAAACATTTCATGTTCGTTTTGAAAAAGTAATTATATATCTACATGTCAATTCAAAGTTACTGAACGTTCTCTTCGTTTATAGCTCCCAAAGCCCTAGGAACCACTGGGATATCCGTAGTATCTATACTAAAATGTACCATCTGTCCTCTAATTTACTTGTTTTATTCGTTTCCTTTTGCTCTATGTTAAGATCTTTACCAGGCTTCTAAACTTGCCATCATCTCTTTTGATATGCTCTGCCTGTGCCACTGTTCCACATTAGCTTTAGTCAATCTCATTGGGTTAAAAAGGCCAACATACTCGAAGTTTCTTCTTTTTCTAAAACACTTCCATCTACTTGACAAGTGAGGTCAATTGAATTTCTCCTTCTCTTTTCCTTCTATTATAATTAAATTTTCTTTGTCGCCAATAAGAATATCTTGGAATTTTTTTTCAAGTTTGATATATATATATATATATATATACTACCCCCATGGAACATCTGTAGAAAGGCCATAAAAATAAGAGGCTTTGCTTATAAGTTATATTGTTTAGGCATTGGTAAAATTAGTGGTAAGCTAGCAACATTGCCAAAGCTTGCAAATTCATAACAAAAACCTATGACAAAATATATCCAAAAATTCAAAATGTAATCCTTTGATGCTCCCCGAACTATATTTCATCCATTGCCAATCTGTCAAACATGTGAAAAAAACTTCAAACATGTAATTCCAAAAAACCTTCCAAGCTTGCAAATTCATAACAAAAACCTATGACAAAATATATCCAAAAATTCAAAATGTAATCCTTTGATGCTCCCCGAACTATATTCCATCCATTGCCAATCTGTCAAACATGTGAAAAAAACTTCAAACATGTAATTCCAAAAAACCTTCCAAGCTTGCAAATTCATAACAAAAACCTATGACAAAATATATCCAAAAATTCAAAATGTAATCCTTTGATGCTCCCCGAACTATATTCCATCCATTGCCAATCTGTCAAACATGTGAAAAAAACTTCAAACATGTAATTCCAAAAAACCTTCCAAGCTTGCAAATTCATAACAAAAACCTATGACAAAATATATCCAAAAATTCAAAATGTAATCCTTTGATGCTCCCCGAACTATATTCCATCCATTGCCAATCTGTCAAACATGTGAAAAAAACTTCAAACATGTAATTCCAAAAAACCTTCCAAGCTTGCAAATTCATAACAAAAACCTATGACAAAATATATCCAAAAATTCAAAATGTAATCCTTTGATGCTCCCCGAACTATATTCCATCCATTGCCAATCTGTCAAACATGTGAAAAAAACTTCAAACATGTAATTCCAAAAAACCTTCCAAGCTTGCAAATTCATAACAAAAACCTATGACAAAATATATCCAAAAATTCAAAATGTAATCCTTTGATGCTCCCCGAACTATATTCCATCCATTGCCAATCTGTCAAACATGTGAAAAAAACTTCAAACATGTAATTCCAAAAAACCTTCCAAGCTTGCAAATTCATAACAAAAACCTATGACAAAATATATCTAAAAATTCAAAATATAATCCTTTGATGCTCCCTGAACTATCTTCCATCCATTGCGAATCTGTCAAACATATGAAAAAAAAAATTATAATGTTAAAATGTTAATAATAAAGGTCTTGGTTCTAAAAACATTGGTTTCACATTATAGATGAACAAATTGAGAGCAAATTTTCCTACGGTGAATTACAAAATTTTAATTTACCAAAATCAAAAAGTAACACATGATTCACTAGTTAAACTTGGCATATATGAACTAATTACAAGCAATATCTCTATAAATTTGTACATATTCCTAGTTCTTTTTTTCAACCTAAAGATCAATACTCGTGCTCTACCATAGTGCATGCAGCACACTTCAACCTATATAAAGTTACTGAGGGAAGCACACTAAGTATTGGCCAACGCATTTTTTATGATTAACTGTTGATGCATATTTCTTGAATCAAACTATTCATAAAGTTAGTTTTAATCTATCACATGCATCTACAATCACTCCCCAAAAAACAGTTCGTGTCAAGGTTTGCTGACTAAGATTTGTGGTGGGAAAATATTTTATTTTTTAAATTTAATTAATGGGTATTTTTCCGACTTTGGACTGACTTATTACAAGCAGATTGAAATTGCTGAATATCTTTCTATAATAGTGTGAACATATTTTTCTGGGTAATTATTAATTTTAAATTATTTTGGGTGTTTATTTGTTTGTTGAATTTATTTCTAGTTGAAATTTTGAAAATGCATTGCATTGATTAGATTTCGCATGATTGAAATTGCTGAACTTGTTTTTATGGATAGCTGTACACTGTGAATATGTTTTTCTAGTTAATTATTAATTTTAAGATCATTATTCTGTGTTTGATTTTTTTGTTGAATTGACTACCCAGTTGAAATGTGTCCCTACTTAGCACCCAGTCAGAGTCCTGTAAAGCTGGACATAGCTTCTTCAGTTCCTCCAGGTTTGTGAACTCACTTGTTTACATCTATATCTATTTGATCCTATCACTGTACACGAGGTCTACTTACCCTTTTTTTTGATTGATAACTAGGTCCAGGGGTGGTTAATAATTTGCAACATCAACATCTTTTAGGTTTCTAGATTCTGTGTAAAAAGATAACCCCTTTAACTTAAAATTTTTAACCATTTACTAACTAGCCTCATTTTTTTTTTTAAATCGATCATTCCTTTCTTATATTATTTGCTAACAGGGGATGCATGTTGCTAGTTAGGTTGGCTGCACAAATCCTGTTTCTTATCAGGACCCACATTCATTGTTAAATCACACAACACAACATGATGTTCTCTCATTCCCTCACCTGTCTTTTTTAGTCAGCCTTTGCCCTTGACAAGCCTTCATACCGGTGCAATTATTGGTCTTCACTGCATATAGCGAAAAACTGTGAATCGACTTTTCTCTTTCTCTGTGTGTGTGTGTATGTACATACATTTATTTTCTGTTATTGATGTCCACTTTTTGAATTTCTTTCTCTCAGATTTTTTTTAGTGCTTGATCTTGTAATCTTTTGGCACAAAACTATTATTTTATACATGGGTAGTAGAAGAAAAGAATTATTTGGAATATGGAAAAGAACATTCATAAATGGTAGAACATTCATAGAATTCCTCTTCATGTGTTCTCTTGCTTTGTAATGATTTTAGGCACTTTGGTTCTAATATGATGGCTTGGGTTCTTTGAAAATGTGTAGTTCGTTTGGTGCTATGGAGATTTGGTTGGAAAGGAATTCTACAATGTTTGAGAGAAAATCAGATAATGTCAAGGCTTTGTAGGATAGAATTTGTTATTTGGCTTCCCTTTGGGCTTCTTTGCTCCTAGGTCAGTGTCTTCTAATTTCAAGGGCATACCCTTATTTTTTATTAGTAGAGTTTGGACAGCTGTGTGTGATATGTAATTTTCTTTTATTAGTAGAGATTGGACAGCTGTGTGTGATATCTCTCTTTTCCTTCTATTGTAATTAATTTTCCTTGATTGCCAATAAGAGTATCCTGGAAAATTCTTTAAAGTCTGATATATATATATATATATACTACCCCCATGGAACATCTGTAGAAAGGCCATAAAAATAAGAGGCTTTGCTTATAAGTTATATTGTCTAGGCAGTGGTAAAATTAGTGGTAAGCTAGCAACATTGCCACTGATGAAAACTTGTCAATAATTTTCTTGGTGGAATTCTTACATTTTCCTTTGTAATCTTAGTAAATGGACCTATCATGAACCGGCAGCCAATCTCAGTTGGAAACATCACCCCTACTACTGTCAAAGTTACAGCAAACATTGGAAGCACTTATCGTGATATCAATATTGAGTCAGCTGCTGTATTTGTTGCTCTTGCACCCTGGCATGTTCAACAGCAGGTATGGACCTGCTTACCGTATCTAGTTGTAAATTCGGGAACCTCCATGCCAATATTTGCAATGCCTAAATAAGAACAAGTCTGAAAGATTCAATTGTGGTTTGGATAAATTGGTCTTCTTTGTCTTGTCTTGTCTTGTTTATTTGGTGAATTTGTATGTGGTTTGGCTAAGTTGGTGTATAATGTTGAATTGTTTATTTTGTATCAATTGTTATTCTCTTCTTATTCCTGACAAGACCAACAACACATTGACCATTATTCACAGTGGTATTGGCATGACCAAGGGTGGTATGTAGCGATGCAACTGTGTATCATTTAGTCTAGTCTTGATATATGTATGGTTTGTTTGGATTTTTATATTAGTCTCTAAATCTAAACCAGTTCAACTTCAGCCACACAAACCAGAATCAAACTCCAACCAGTTCAGCTTCATCCACAAAACCACGCAGATCTCCAATAAACCAACCAATTCAGCAGCCAAAACACTACCAGACCAACTCTACCAGAACAGAATAAAAACTATAGTCCAAACAGCCAAGACACTATCAATGTAGCAGCCAAAACAGTACCAATGCATCAACAATTATACCAGACCAACACTACCTATGCATCAGCCACCACTACCCCAGCCATAACACTGCCAGCAATAGCATTACAACTCCCTCCTACTACCTGCACTATGAGGATATTTAATTTCTTGGGTCTAGACAGATCTGCAGCAAAACAAAACCATAAAACTGCAGCAAAACAGAAACCAAGGCAGCATAGATCTAGAGCATTGTGGTGGTTCTCAGTTGTACGGCCTTTTTCCAGATCATAATCATTGAGTACCTTGGTGCATTTGCAAACACAACACCCCTCACTTGCGCGCAATGGTTCCTCAGCATATTTATCGGATTCTTAGGCATGCCAATTGCAGCGGGCTTAAAGATGATCCCTGTGGACACGTAACTCAGAAAATGCTGATTTTGGAATTAAAAGCACAATCCTCTGCCTGGTAAAATAGCTCTAACTTCCCTATTCTGAAGCGAAAGATGTTATTGAACATGAAGGATGATGTGCCATTACCTTGTTTGAGTAGAAGATCTAAAGGTTAAATGAAAATTTGGAATCTTACTATCACCAATTACTACCACCATTGTTGGTTTGCTTTGTAACATTCCAAATTTCAGTTTAATTTTCTTTAGTCCTCTTTTCAAAACTTGGAATTTTGCTATTGTTTATGACTATGCTGGAATTGAATGATTATGTAGAAACGGATGGAAGTGTAGAGGTTAGGATGGTAAGAATTAATGGCTTCATTCCAAAATTTGCAAGAATGCATACATTCATCTTCCAGACGAGCACACCCAGCAAGCAAATAAATTAGATATGTTGCAAGGCTGTGACTGTGAACCTATTTAAAATAATGTCTCAGTTGCATTTGTATGTGAGCAGAGTTGCATGGTTGGATTTATTTAGGCTGCTTTGGTCCAACTTGGTATTGTATGTTTTGACACCTCTCCTATTATTTATTTTCTTTTACATGTACAAGTGTTGCTTTATCAGTTGGTGTTCTTGAAATTGAATCGTATTTTTTTTCTGTGTCATTTTTTCTAGGCCAGTTCATTTATATGTGCTTATTTGATATTTTAAAAATTTGCAGGTCAGGTGCAAATGTAAGCTTGCATGAAAGTGGAAGTTCTTGATAGGATGCAAAAACACATAAGAGAGGAGAATGTTGTAAGCGCTGTAGGATTTTTTTTTAACACAATAGTTTAAATTTCGTCAGTCTTTGTTCTTTTTACTAGCTCCATAGTGGTGAATAGAAATTGTGGCTGGGGATCTCCATGCTAAGCTGCAAAATGTTATCATTATTATAAGCATTTTTTTAATTAAACAGATGCAATGGGTGAGTGCAGGGTTGCTCTCCATCTCTCTGAAATTCAACTTTGTTCTACATTATCATGTTCTTTGTTTGTTTTGTTTTTGCACATGGTGATTCTATGCAAAAAGTTTGAAGGGCACCTCACCAGCAAATTGCCCGGAGACTATCACGTGCACCTCACCCTAGATTAAACAGACATGTAAGAGCAAGTGGCACATTGATAGGACGCATGGTTAGAGAATTAGAGACAAAGATGTGAGAAAAAGGCGAAAACGGCCCGTTTGGGGGGGCCAAAAAAAAAAAAAAAAGCAACCAAAATAGCATTAAAAAATAAAATCAAGAAGTTAGGAGGAATCCTTGTTCAAAAAGGAAGTTAGTAGGAAACTAAAGAAAGGAATCAATCCACCAACCTTGTAGCATCCATGTAGTCCGAATTGAATCTCTTCTTTTCCGGCTGCTAAAAGCAGTATTAATTCCAACAACCATAAAATATTTTCTATTAGAAGATGAGTCAGTCTTCTTTGAGTCTTCTGATAGAGGAGGGCCACTGAGAATAGATTCCTGCGCGGCCCTTGCAACAGCTAATTCCATCTCTAAATTTGAAATGGTTTTATCCAGTGTTTTACATTCAATATAGTACAGTATAAGGTCCACTCCAAGGTACCCAAAAATCAGAAGGAAGTATACACACATAATCTACTTATGTAAACAAGCACAAGAAGAACTTACTATATAGCATGATGAGTCTTAGAAACTTCCCCCACAATGTCCTTAGATTCACACTTTACAACCTTCCGGTCCAACTAGAAAAGCTCAATGAGATCAAATCATAGTGCAACAGGAATACAAAATTAAAAATCAAGATAAACCCAAATAGAAAGTGAACAGTGGAGATACATATAGCTTTTGGAACACAACCCTCCGAAACCAAATTTAGTTATTCAGTCCATGTTTTTTTATTTAATTGAAATGAATTTAGTTGCACTGAATCTATTCCAACTTTTTGTGTTTTCTTGGTGAATTTAAGGCCTTGAAATGGAGGAATTTTATATTTTTGGTATTAAAGAGGCTATTTCCATTATGTCTTTTGATTAGTTGTATCCCTATGCTCTCATCTCTCCCAATATAGCTTAAAAAGTCAGTCTTGTTACACATTTATAAACTTGAAGCCCCCAAATCCTTTCATTTCAAACTTGTAATTTGAACCTCAATAAAAAATCATGTTCTAACCATAGAGATTAAAACTATGCCAAAACATGATCCATGGAGGATTAGGGTCACATTAGCTAAATATATCCACATTCAAATAAATAATAATAAAACATGAGATACATAATTGGCGCGAGAAAGCAAGAGGGAGAGGGAGAGGGACTACATTCAGAATATCAGAGATAGAGAAGAGAACAGAGCAGCGACCCAAAAAGAGGGTTGCGATCTGCTGCCGGCCAGTGTTGCTGCCGCCGGGCACTGTTGTGCCTTTCGCATTCAGCGGCGCGAGAGGGTAAGAGGGAGAGGGAGAGAGAGAAGAAGATGAGAAGAAGAAGAGAAGAAGAACATACCTAATCTGTGATGTGTCGTTCTGTGCTGTGCCGTTTCAGATGGATGAGAAAATGAGAAGAAGTTAGGTCAATTGTTTGTTTATTCACTTGTCAACAATTTTTTGGCAATAAAAAATTAGGGTAATGCCAAATAATTTATTGGCAACCAAATTAATTTGGTTGCCATAGATGTTATTCAGATTTTTAGCGACCAAGTAATGCCTGTCGCCAAACAAATACAATTGGCGACTAAAATTTCCGTCGCTATAAATTAATTGGTCGCTAAAAGTTTTTCGCGCTCCCGCTCAAGAAATTCACTTGGCGCCAAAATCAATAGCGACCAAAATTATAAATTCGTCGCCAAAAGTTTATTTTTTAGTGACCACAAATATTCTGTCACCAATTATGTATCTTTGGCAACTAAATTTTTGTTTGGTTGCTAAAAAGTGTCGCCAAAAATGCTTTTTGTTGTAGTGTGTGAGGAGAGAGGCCGGCTGGTTTTTGGACTTGAAGGTGGCCGGCCGGCCACCACCCCTAGCCGGCCGGCTAGGGGTCAAAAGGGTCAAGTTGAATTAATGGCCGGCCACCACTCTTTAGGGTCCTCCCATGTGTGTACATCACAAGTATGTGGTTCAAAGTTCAAGAAAGTGGCCCAAGAGTGTTCAACATTGGCCCGGAAGGAGGGGTTCAAAAGGGTCAAATGGAACTAGTGGCCGGCCACCAACTTTTAGGGTCCTCCCATGTGTGTACATCACAAGTATGTGGTTCAAAGTTCAAGAAAGTGGCTCCAGGTTGTTTAACATTGGCCCGGAAGTGAGAAAAACGGATGTCGGAGGGCAAAAATGGAATATAACTGGTTGCCAAGATAATTGCTGGCCTCCCACCCTCCAGTGACCTTCCTGGTGATGAAACAGAGGCACCTGCCAAAAATGAACGAAAACCGATGCAAAACGAATGCTCGGGGGCCAAAACACGCAGTTCGGGGTCCCGAAAATGGGCTGCCAAGCACCGAAAGTGGCGTTCGGCCACGAAGTGGGTTTCTCAGACCCCAGTGTCCCTCAAAAGGGAGTAAATAAGATGTATGCCAAAATTTAGAGCAAAAGGAGATGGTTGAGCGGTCCCGAACTGAGGCACACGGCCTGACAGCTCCGAAAACCGGGAACCGGGCTCCGAAATGGGAAAAATGGCCTATAGCCACAAAATGTAGCCCACGACCACTGAGAGATGGTCTACGGGACCTCTCCCTCCCCTCAGGAAAGAAACAGAGAAAACCGAGTCTGGTTCGCAAACCGAGACAAGGCACAGAAGAGGGTTCGGAAATCCGGAGGCAGGGCTCACGGCCGCGACTCTGAGACTCCTGAACGAGCACGATATGCAACGTCACCGAGCGCTCAATCGGTGATGTCTGAGTCTTAAGATCGGTCAAAAATGGGGTGTCTACAATACCTAATCTAGGGCTTCATTTCAACAGGTTCTGCACCCTCTCTCTCTCTCTCTCTCTCTCTGTGTCTGTCTTCAATAGGTTAGGGTTTCCCTCCCTCTATGTCCATAACGTGTCCACAATGTGTCCAAGAGTGTCCAAAAGAGTGTCCGGCTACAAAATTCAAAAAATATAAGGGACACGTTGGGTAGAGTGTCGGGCACGTGTCCACTGCGTGTCCGACACCCATACGTTGCCTTCGGAGACGTGTCCGTGCTACATAGGCTGCCATTAAGAAGAAAATAATTAATTCAATGCAGAAGTTGTGGACTGAAGGAGACCTCCTTATATGCTTTTGAAAATGTGTTTAGTGATTGATTAGGGTGCCTATCTCTGGCCACTGGATACAATATGGTGTTCACCATAGGAGATAAAATTTGGAGGGTAGCAAATTTCCCGCCCTCTTGATGGAAAATGCATATTCTGAGCAGACTGTCCCTACAATTAAAAATAGTATTTTTTTTTTTTTTGAACGAACAATTAAAAATAGTATGGTGCTTTAATCTTGCTGGATAGTTTGCAGTTCTAGAGGAAGTGGATAAACCATAATGAATCGAAAAATCTAATGTAAATTCGGAATCACAGGATTGGAGAATGGTTCGTAGATCATATGAAGAACAAACCATTTTGTGAATTGACAGTGTTATGTTTACAAAGAAAGATACATCTGTTACTGTAGTATATTTAATTAATGGAAAATTAAATGGAGCTGATCATAAAATATCAGAATAATGTGTCTAGCTGTATTAACACTCTTTGGTACCAGTGGTTTACTTTGTTGGAATATTTATAACAACAACAATCTAAGAAGCGCAGACACTTTCTAGAAACCATTGTGCCTTTGACGGGCATTTCCTGACACATATCGGGCACATGTCCAAACTTGTACTATTATTTTAAAACAAAATAGACTCATACACAGTTCAAACCCGTGGGAAACATGTGTCCATAACATGTTACTAGTTTGAACAAAAATAACTTAGGATCTAATGTCTAGATTTATACCCATTAACACTTCCTTTAAGCTTTAGAAATTGGTGTAATGCTGTTTTTTATTTTTATTTTTTATATTATCTTTGAAGGAAGTATTCATATATACGACATGACATCTAATAAATGTGTAAACTATTTATTCTTTGTGTCTCTCACGTCTTGTCTCCAGATATATATATATCTATATATATATATATATATATATGTAAAAATTTATGTATTATTGATTGATGTTTATTGATATCTATTACAATGATTCATGATTCCTATATATAGAAGAGGGTGAGTGTGTAGTAGGTAAGGAGTAGGTGAAGTGGAGGTGGTAGTGGTGTAGTGGGTTAGGTTTAGTGGAATAGGTGAGATGGTAGTGGTGTAGTGGGTTAGGTTTAGTGGAGTAGGTTTAAGTGGGGGAAGTAGATGGAGAGTAGGTGAAGTGGAGGTGGTAGTGGTGTAGTGGGTTAGGTTTAGTGGAGTAGGTGAGGTGGTAGTGGTGTAGTGGGTTAGGTTTAGTGGAGTAGGTTTAAGTGGGTGAAGTAGGTGGAGAGTAGGTGAAGTGAAGGTGATAGTGGTGTAGTGGGTTAGGTTTAGTGGAGTAGGTGAGGTGGTAGTGGTGTAGTGGGTTAGGTTTAGTGGAGTAGGTTTAAGTGGGTGAAGTAGGTGGAGAGTAGGTGGTTTTTAACAATATATTTAAAAATTTTAAATTTACTGTGTTGGTGTCCATGTCGGGTCATGTGTCCATGTCCATGCTTTTTAGGCAACGACCGATGATCTCAGAGAGTGCACTGCCAAGTTGTTGAAGTATCAATTCTAGACCACCAAAATTTTAACAATTGTTGAAGGTTTATAAATGAGAAGTTATGCTTGTATTGACTATTATGTTGTCTAAACCATAATGCAGTCCATATGAGAAGCCGTACGTGTATTCATAAGCCTGGCACAAGACTTCCTTTCATTCTCCTTTCTAGAAATACTCAAGAACAGATAGTATTGTACCCTCTGATGTTGATTATAATTTTAATTTTCTTCTTAGCTACTTCAATTTTGAAAATTTCCCCATTAGTTCATGCCTCTTATTCTCATTGTTAGGTATCTGAATGGATGAGCCATAAAAGATATCTTGACTTGTTACCTGGAGATGTTGCGATTCAGTTGGATTTGATATCAGAAGTTCATGGTGTAGAACAAGCAGAGAAGTATTTCAGTAACATTCCTATCACTTTGAGAGGCTTGCAGGTCGATGGTGCTCTTTTAAACTGTTACGCCCATGAAAAATCTTTGGAGAAAGCAGAGGCAATCATGCAGAAGATGACAGACCTGGGATTCAATATAACATCACTGCAGTACAATGTGATGCTTAAGCTCTATGCTGACATGGGAAAGCATGAAAAACTAGATTCCCACATGCAAGAGATGGAAGAGAAAGGCGTTACAGGTAACAATTTCACATTCAATACCCGCTTAGATGCGTATGCAATTGCTTCTGATATTGAAGGAATGGAGAAGCTTCTGATGAAGATGGAAGCTGATGTCACTGTGGACTGGGATGCATATGTCGTGGCGGCAAATTGGTACTTGAGAGCTGGTATGGTAGAAAAGGCTTTACCAATGGTAAAGAAATCAGAGCGACTTGTTAGGGTAAGATGAGAAGTATGAGGTTCTACTCACTCTGTATGCTAGTATGGGGAACAAGGATGAAGTGTATAGTATATGGAATTTGTACAAGAAAATTGGAAAAATATACAGTATGGGCTACCTTAGTATGATAAGCTCACTAGTGAAGTTAGATGACCTTGATGGTGCGGAAAAGATATGGGAGGAGTGGAACAAGAAAACATCTTTTGATTATCGAATTCCAAACTTTCTCATCAATGCTTATTGCAAGACGGGCCTTTTAGGAAATGCTGAATCAATTGTAAATAGGCTGATAGAGAGTGGTATCAAGCCCCATGCAAGAATATGGCAGCGCTTGGCAGCTGGATATCATGATGATGATCAAATTTGAAAGGCAGTGGAGATGATGACGAAAGCACTCGCGGCGCGTCATTCTAGGTGGAAGCCAAACCTTCCTACTCTGGCAGCATGTGTGGAATATTTGAAAGGAAAGGGAAGCGTAGAAGTAGCAGAGGAGTTGATAGAATTATTAAGGGAAAAGGATGTTGTACCGTCGGAGGTTTGTGAAAGATTAGTAAATTACATAGAAAGTGGAAATCCAGCATCCGGAGCACTTGATCTCATCATGGGAGGCGATGATCAGGCTCTGAAGGGAGAAAGAGGCATGCGAGTTGAAATGTGAGAGAGTATTAGCTGAATTGTGTTAAAAGCTTTGGCTATTTGTGAACTATTTAGTTGTATTGACCTATTGGTTGCTTGCATCTGAGTCTTGTCAACTGATTTTTAGGTTTAATTCAGTTTTCCATAGCAGATTTAATTATAACAGCCTCCTAAGCATGAGTTGAGAGAGTCGCTCTCAAAATTACGTTTCAGTGGCAATATATATCAATACTGCGTTCAGATAATTTGATAGTAATTGTCAAAAAACATGTGCCAAAAGTGGATTGCGTGGTTATATCTTCCTCCCTATTTCTGGACCATTTGATGATCTTGAAGAAGAACAGGAAACCAAAATCCTCTGGCCTAGCAGATTATTTTATTTTTTAAAACAAGATAATGGTGTAAGGAATATATTAATTCAACCAGCAACTACATTCTACACTTCAACTAAATCAAACATAGGTTCCATTCAAATAGAATCAGTTATGTGAATTTTTTTGTCATTTTACTCTGTCAAGTACTATATGCTACTAGCTAAATAAAAAAAATTTACGCCTTGTTTTACTATCGCATTTCATGTTAGTTTAGGTTTTTTCTCTCTTCATCACATTTATATTTATGGTGATCATTATCACTCTTTTTAACTATGTTTACAAGTTTTTATTTATGTCTCAGTCCTCCTACACCCTCAATACATGAAAACAGAGAAGTTGAAACATAGAAAATGCTTCTCGGCCTGCCCATTTCAAGCCTATTAGCCTCAGTAATGTAATTTATAAAACAATTTCAGACATTATGATTAGGCACATGCAATCTATCCTAAAAAATATTTATCTCCCCCTTTCAGAGTGCTTTTCTTCGTAATAGGCAAATTTCAAATAATATATTTTTACTTGCCTATGATATGACCCTCCTCCATATTATATGTACGGGAAAGAAATAAACATTCTCGTATAATCCTGTTGGTCAAGTCTGCGCTCCTCCGTACGACGTCGCTTTATTCCCTGAAAACACAAACGTGAACTAGCCAGCGGATGTGTGCCGGATACCTCTCCGATGCCTAAGTCAGTAAAATAGACAAATAGATAAAAGCTCTGTGTATTCAAGAATCAAAGTTGCGTTACTTCTCCATAGGTGATGTTGTGAGCTTTTATAGGTTCCGTGTGGCACAATCCTAGTAGGACTCTTCCTCTTCCCTGTAGAGTCCCCCTAGGAATCACATTCCTAAAAGATAATGCTTATCCTTCAACACTCCTCTCACTGCTTAAACCAAGTGAGATGGTTTTTCCATGGTCGGATCCCAATATAACTGAGGTAAGCATGGCTATGTTAAGCCGCAGAGTAGACTGAACTAAAGCCAATTCGGCTTCTTCCATTCACTACTCTTACCTCGGCTTCTCCTCTACAAACCATGGTGTGTTTAGACCGAGCTAAGAAATAGCAAGGTTTTGACCGAGCTAACCGCAACATGCCACGACCGGGCTAACTCTGAGTGTGGTGACCGAGCTGTCTATAACACTCTCTTGGACCGGGATAACAACAAGGCCTTTTGGGGACCGGGCTAATGCCAAGGCCCTTTTTACTCTGCCCTTCTTACTGTGGCTCACAACGGCCCATTACCCAGCTCGGCCCAATTTATATATATAAATTACCCTCTCAATTGCCCCTTAATTCCATCTGCACAACATGATAGGGATTACCCGTTACCCGCCGACTAAAAAACTTTAGTTTTTCAACCGAGCTACAACTCTATCCGGTCAAAAGCGTCTCTTCAATCGCAGCAACTAAATCGCTTCTCATTCCAAGGACACATGGCACACTCTGATTGGCCCAATGCAGCTATCACGCCGCCTTCGTACTCTGTGTTTTTTTGAACAGTCCCGCCCAAAGTTTTGGGCCTTTCACCAAAACAAACCCTAAGGTTTTGAATCCATCACTTTACTATTCACTCTTATCCCTCTTCCTCCTGAGGTATCATCGTTTTTCGACTTGTAACTGAAAAAAGCTTCGTGTTCTTACTTCTGGTGCCATTTCCATTTTCCAGTTCCTTCCTCTTCAACCTAGTAAGCTACGTTTGTTCTCTTTTTGTTATTTTCGCACTTGTTTTTTACAATCCACAACATATTGTTTGTGTGTTTTTGTAAAACACATTTTCTCTATTTTTTGCTTTGCCTTGCGTTTTCTGGGAAAAGCCTTGTAAGAACCACTAGTATTCATGAAACAATCTGTAGAACATTGCATCTGATCCAAAATCGCAATGTAACCGAACTAGGAAGTTGTTTGTAGTTGATGTCAGTCTAGCCAAACTAATCAACCGAACTAACACTTCATGCTATTCCAGTAGTTTTAACAAGTCAAACCACCTTTTGATTCAATTAGCCAAGCTATCGAACCGTACTAGGTCTGCGTAATAGTGCGCTTCAAAGCCTCAACCACGACCGAGCTACAGCTTGGGGCTAAACCAGCCCTCTTAGTCCAGACCGAACTAAGAACGCTGCCCCTAGAGGCTCAACCGGGCTAACAAACACCTTGCTCAAACCGAGCTAAGACCCGTAGCATCTCACATAGTCGAGCTAGGACTTCATTCATCTTACCTTTATTTCTTTTAGCATGGTCCAACAATCTGTGCTTAACACTTTTGTTTTTCACTTTGCAGACTTAGGTTGCCCAGACACTCCTTTGAGCGCTCAACCAAGCTACTCAGCATCATTCTTCGACCGAGCTAACACTCCAGTTTAATTTATTCATAACTTAAACCACAAATGGGAAAGTATAGGTTTTTAGTTAACTCATCAGGTGCCATGGCCGAATTTCGAAAAGATTATAACATCCCTGATGATGTCCATCTCACTCTAGCCGACCTGGATATCATACCATGGGGAAAACACAGCTTCGTTCCCTTTACCCTACTGTCCATAGTAGAGACCGGACTAAGATTCCCCATACAGCCTCTTCTCTGTGAATTCCTTAGGCAGACCAACCTTTGCCCAACCCAACTTTCCACCAATTCTTACCTTATAATAAATGGTATTGCCGAGCTAAACCGCCGGGCTGGCCTTAATCTCGGTTTAGCCGAGCTCTTCCATCAATATTCTATAGGCTCCGCCGAAGATGGATGGGTCTATTATTTAAGAATAAGACGCCGGCGTGAAAAAATAATAAAGGATACCCCGGATAAACACGTAAATGATGATGATTTCCTTTGGGTATCTGGAAATTTTGAGGACTAATAGGCCCAGATCCCTGGTGATAGAATAAATTGAAACAAGGGTGTAACCGGTAGAGTTACCTCGGCTTCATACTACGCCTTTCTTTACTTCGGTTTTCCCATCTTCAATCGCTCTAACTGTTGTCTTCTTTTATGCAGATTTGAACTTCCTTAAGTCCCAATACAGTTACCGCAACTTGAATATACTTCGCGCCGCCCTGCGATATCCCAACCGAAGTTGGACCGAGCTATTGGACTTTCAGCCGACCTACCGATATAGTGGCAAACGGAAGACCAAGGTAACTGACTTCTTATTGGAAGCCTCTCCTGAACTGGACCCAAACTTGTCCCAAATCAGATTGATCTCTCTAACTGCTGAGCAAAAGATGGCCAAAAAACGAGCTGTGAAGGCCCTTTTGACTGAAACAAACCAAGCCGAGGTACCACCAGCAAGCTAACCCCAAGAGACCGTGGTGGCCTTACCGACGCATCAACCCTCTTCATCTCGTCCAAACAAGCATGCTCGGACTTCCACAACTGAGCCACGCCTTGTTGATGAAGAGGATATCATTCCTCCACTAAGCCCTCCACGAAGCCCACAACCGGAGTACTCTGATCGAGCTAACTCTTCCAAGTGGACTCCCAAAATCACTTTTCAGTACCGTGCTATACGGGATACTGACTCAGTGGTTGCTGAAAAAGACCACCTAATGGCATTCAATCTGGCCAAGAGTGTTAGCCTTCCACCTGACATGGAGCACCACGACCACCTAACCGAGCTGAAGGCCCTTCGCTCGTCCATGAAATCCAAGGTGCTAGTGAGTAGCTCACTTGCTTATCTTTCAAATTCTTACAACTTTCTGCTCGGTCGTACTTAAAAAAGTTTCTTTTCATCCTTTTGTAGGCCATACAGAAGAACCATATCGCTCACAAGCGAGTGTTGGAGCTTCGGAAAACAACAAGACAGGCTATGGCCGATGTAACTGAAAAAATTGCCGAGCTAGAAGAAGCCAGGAAGCAGCTAGCCAAGCTATGAACCAAGAATGGTCGTTTGACCGGTCTTGTTAACTCGGCTGAAGCAGACAAGCAAAAGGCAGCGGTCGTGGTAAAAGATAAGTATCTGCGCGAGCTCGCCAAGCTCGAGGGAAAAAAGAACACCGAGATAACCAAGCTTGAGAAGAAGCTGGAAGATGCGGAGGACCGTGGTTTCAAAGAAAGGGAGGCCCTTTACAATAAGCAATACGAGGCGGCCAAAGACTTATTCTTTAAATGCGGATGGAGGGTGGCCGTGGCACAGCTCGGTCATGGGCCAGAGACCGAGGTCTTCAACCCTCCTCTGTATTTTATCCCGGGTTTGATGACGGAGTACGCTGCTGCCATTCAACAACAATTTCTTCAGGCTGAGGATGACGAAGAAGAGACCGAGCCAAACAATACCCCGGTTGATAACGAACCTGTTGTTCAATCAGCTCAGTTGGAGCCACTGGTTGAAGATTTGACGACCGAACTACCAGATGAGACTAGGCTACCAGATGAAACCGGGCTCCGAGTTGATCTTGATGCGGAAATAGATGACCTTTTTGCTTAATCTCTGTATTTTCGTCTTTTTACTTTTGGACAAGAATTTGTAACTAGGTTGAGGTCCCACCTTGTGTATTCAATTTGCACTTAATGAAATCCTCTTTTGTTCCAACTGTTATCTCAGTTTACTTCCATGCTGGTACTTGCTTTCTAACTGTAATCTGAATGAAGTATAACCTTCTTTAACTTTCCAATCTATCAAGCCATAGTTGCCAACCTCTTCAGCCTAGATTATTATCTCGGCTGGAGAACAATAAGTGTTAATTTTTCCAACTAACCACTTTTCATCCTAGATCCTTATCTCGGTTGAAAAGTACAAAGTGTTGGTTTTTCCAGCCAACCACTCTTCAGCCTGAATCCTTATCTCGGCTGAAGAGGACTAAGTGTTGGTTTTTCTAGCCAACCACTCTTCAGCCTGCATCCTTATCTCAGCTGAAGAGGACTAAGTGTTGGTTTTTCCAGCCAAACTTCCTGCAGCCTGGATCTTTATCCTGGGCTTAGGAGGGGTGTTGGTCATTCCAGCCAACCTCTAAGTTGGTTTTTCCAGCCAACCTAGAGTAAAGTGTTTGGTTTTTCCAGCCAAACGTCCTGCAGCCTAGATCCTTATCCTGGGCTTAGGAGGGTTGTTGGTTATTCCAGCCAACCTCTAAGTTGATTTTTCCAGTCAACCTAGAGTAAAGTGCTTGGTTTTTCCAGCCAAACG